CACGGCACCTTTGGGTAACATTCTGTCTTAATAGATTTAGAGAAATGAGTACGTGCACAGATGAGCATCAGCCTGGCAATGACACTTGCTGCTACTAGCAGCTTTAGTATTATATTTGTACTGCCTCCTGTAGTACGTAAGACTGGTTGTATTGGGTGGTGATGACTAGTGTACGCAACGCTCAATTCAGTTCTCAATCCAGTGCCCAAATCAGCAATAGACTCCAGGTCACTGACTTTCTTCCTAACTGATTTTTTTCCAAGGATTAAACCTCTGTGTACAAATGTGAAAGTTCTTTAATGCTTTTCCAAATTTTGAACAGTCTTGCATAATCATTTCACAATATTTATAGTGGCAGCTTGTGTTCCACCTCGGGCTGCTGCTCTTATCTCCTGCTTCCACGGCAATGATGAGGTAAAAGGAAAGATGGAGTGGAAACTATGTTGGCACATATATACATTTTCCCAATGGGCTAAGAAAACATTTATCTTTCTCCCCTTCGTTGTAGCTAATGTGTCAAAAGAAGGGATACTCAAGAACACAGTAAGAGCTTGTATTGATAGCAGGGGAGTAGGGCATGTCCTGTATCTTGATTTTGGAAAAATACTTGCTGCACGCAACGTTCTAATAAGCAAGCTATGGAAAGGCAGTCTAACCATAGATATATACAGGCAGTATGAAAGCAGCAGGAAAACCATACGAAGATGCTAACCATCGAAGGTTTTGTGCTGAAATGGAATCCTGCACTGAGGCAGCATTTTGCACAGCTTAAATTCCTATTTAACCTATTTTCATTATGATTGGAGAATCTACTAGAAAGCATGCATATTAGATTTACAACTGACACTAATCTTGGAAGTCCTGTTAAATAATTTCAAACAAACTTGGATTAAGAAAAGAAGATGTAAAAATGTATCAGAAAACAAAACAACACGGTAGTCATTGTTATAATCCATGTTGCATCCACATACCAAATATTACATGTAATTTTACTCCTCATCTTCAAAAATGATAGAGTTGAACTAGAAAAGATTCAGAGAAAGTTGACATAGATGACCAAAAATATGGATGTACCTTTATGAAGCCTTTTACAGACAGCGAAAGACTTTGCAGTCTGAAAAAGAACAGCTTGAGGAAGGATGTGTCAGTGACCTACAAAATTCTGAGTGGCATGAAAAAGGTAAAAAGCAAATTATTATCTATCCTCTTTCAAAGAAAGACTCAGGCAGCATAAAATAGAATTATGACTAGGTCAGAACGAAAAAAAAAACGGGGATAATTTTTAACATAATTGTTAGTTGAGCTATGTAGCTCTTCCCACAGAATATTTTGCATGCTAGAAGTTGCCATCGTTCAAAATCTGATTAATCAAAAGACATTTAATTCAAATATATTGAATATAATAAAGATAGGACCATCTGCTTCATAACATCACAGAGTCAAACTGCTGCAGGCAGAATACCATCTCATGTTTACTTGTTCTCAGATTTTACCACTGGTAGCGACAAAGTTGACTTCTTGATTTCTAGTCAATGCATGTTACTGCTTAAGCTACTGACCACTGCCAAGAGTGGGATACTTGACCTGAGTGACGTTTGTTTTGATCCAGTATGGCTGCTCACACCTTTTTTTTATTATATGAATAACTTATTTACGTCAGGTGAAACGTTTCTCATTCCTAAAAGTGATCTACTCTGATCTAACTCATTCTCATTTTCTCCTCGTGCCTAGGATGATGCATGTTCAACTTACATTTTTTGGATAAAAAACTGTTTTTCTCAAACAGTAAATATAGATGAAGAATAACATTGAATTTCTGTAGCTTCTTGGAGTTAGGATGTGTTAACCTATTCAGTGCTTCAATTCAGTATGGGATACTTACTCTGATTTCAATCAGTTTGTTTATGTGCTTAGCCGGTAAGGAGAAAAAGTCTGTAAACTCACCTGCTTGGTGTTTTTAAGGTAAATGTTATATCGATCAAGATAAATAGCGTTCAAACACTGTTACCTGTGTTTCTCTTGGAGTGTTTAGTGCTTCACAGATGAGGGTCTTGTTAGCAAATCCTTCCTTTGCAAAATGTCCACTCCTAAAAGACAAGCTCATGGTATTTTGTACAACATGTAACTGGAAAAATATTCATCCTTCATCTTTCTTTCTTCCTCATTATGAAACACTCAGGAAAACTTTGGGGAAAAAAGTAAGATTTAACATCATTGTATTTATTAGGTTCCGAAACAATACACATTCACATCCTTTTGAATACAGTACATTTGGCACAGTAATAATGTTTACGATGAAATAACACTAATGAATGGCAAGAGATTCAAATTACATCCATAAGAAAAAAATTCTGTACAAATAAATCCTCACAATAAAAAAAAACCCCTACCCCCCCAACTGAATACATTTTATATTTAGCCAGAACTATTCTGCACATAATTTAAAAAGAGGTAATTTGTAAGCTGTTTTTGGGAGAGAGTTATTTTTCACCCTACGGAGGAAAACGTGTTTCTGTTTTTTAATACAGTCTATTTGGGAGGAAAAACAAGAAACAATGGATTCTTCATAATTATTATTATTAATAATATTTTTGGCATTTTGCACTCATTTTACAAAGAAGGAATGGGAAAGATTTTACAGAACAGGCAGAAATGTAACAGAATGTCCATTTTTAAGAATTATCTTTTAAAAATGTTCAAGGTAACAGACAAACCTTCTGATGTAAACCCAATGCAGAGGATTTAACTATTTATATTGAAGAAATATCTGCCCACGCCAAAGTTTTTCTCTCCTTCACTTTTCTCTTAGCATCCTACCAAATAATGCAGGTGCCGAGGCCTCTTGAAATACAAACGTTGGCTAATTATCTTCACGTCAGGAACGGGAATACAGACTACATAGCTTGCTTACAAAAGCTTTATGGGGTGCTTTTATTCCTTCAAAATAAATGCTCTGAGTTTTGTGTAAAGGCCTCTTGTTGTCCAAACAGTAGTGCGCTATCGGATAACTTCTCTTCCTAGCCAGTCTACTCACCTATGGAAAAGAACGCTTTAGCATTGTGATCAGTTCTTGCCTGGATGTCAAAAGCTAACCGTGATGAGAAATAAACAGAGCCAGTGGCGAGACACAAATTGATGGGCAGTTCTACAATATATTTCTAAAAGAGAAAGAAATTTAAACACTGAGATGATGCAATCATTAAGATGTTTCTGTGCTGGCACTCAGCTCCAGAAGCTAGTCTTTTCCCAGTACAAAAGATTACTGAAGATAAATTAAATTAAACTAAAGGCTTGATCCATTATTACACCTGTAGGCCAGACAACACATTAATTGATATATCATAATATTTAATATTTTGAAATCATCATAAGAATATATATAATAATTACACCTGAGTTTTAAAAACAAAAAAAATGGAACTGAATGTTGTCATCAGTAACAGGCTATGAGCAGCCAGACGCAAAACTGACACAAACTAACTCATCTGCTTGAGACCGAGATTATCTCTTAAAGCCAATGATTCACACTTTGTCCACCACGATTTGTAACATTCTATTCTCTTTCCGAGCTCTATCATGTCATAATAGAGTTGAAGAGAACTATACAAGAGATTTAGTATAGCTTAATATATGTCTACATCTTTTGTAACTAAAACCTCATCTCTCTGACAGTAACTTGAACCAATACACATACAAGAGTATTGCACATGGACATTATTATAATTATTCTTTCATAGACTAACATTTTAATAGTATGCCTGAACATGCAGCAGTTGATATCTCTATATTCAATGAATTCCACAGGCCTTGCAGCAAACACTATATACAAAATCTCACCTGTACAAAAGGCAAAAAAGCTTCTTTAGTGCCACTTTGCCAATCACAAGTATATATATTTTTGTGCAGCTGGAAATCCATGTGCAACAATTAAAATGGATTCCAATGACCGCTCACTCAGTCCAGTAAAATATATAATAAAATGACTTCAGCGATACATGTACACAAAAAAACCCCCAAAACCCCAAACGAAAAAAACAAACCACAGGGTACTCCTGGAAATATAAGTACATAACACTGTTAGCGTATCTACAGGAGGTAACTTCACATCAGTAATATTGTCCACATGAGTTACCATTTCAATTCATACACAAAAGAATTCAATTTACAACTTTCAATAATGTCAGTTTGTGAATGTTTGATCTTCAGTTTTTCAACACACTTCCACATAATGCACGGGTAGCCTTATTTTGTGTCTTCTAAAAGCAGATTTCTCTCTAGATTTTAAACATAAAAAACAACAAACGCAGTAGTATTATGGTTTTGTAAAAGTGTGCAAAAGTAACACACTGCTGAGAAAATAAATATAAATAAGAAGTTTATCAACTTAGCCACAATGGAAAAGGCAAATTTATAATGTTTAGAATTAATTTTTTTAAAGTAAAATTAACTGTAAACATCTGTAAGCTTGCCATCACATCAATGGTTCATTTAAATGGGTATTAAATTTGGTAACATGGATAGTACACTCAATTGCCTGAAAAATTGTGAACTGCCTATATATCTCTGTGTTAAAGTACTATAGGCTTTATATTCTTTAGCCCTTTAATAACTATCCATATACTATCTATGTCTTGCTTTAAATAAAATTTCAGTTATCTTTGTGACTCTTTTTCTTAAGTTTTTTGCGTAAATTGTACAAGGAGCTTCATCAAAGCCTAACTGATGTGCTTCTTTTTCTGGACAGCTTTACCTTAAGTTTTTACCTCACCACAATAAATTTGTAACTGAGGATTACACGTTCACGAAGGCAGACTTCTTTGAGTAATTTCTTATTACTTACTTGCTCCATGTCTGAGTACAGATCACACCATAACCATCAGTGCAGAAGAAACAGCTCTCACCTTCTTAGCTTAAACACCTAAGATAATTACAGAACGTGATCTGCTAAACTCATTTTTAACAGCAGGGTTTCATTTGCCACAGAAAAGATGCAATTTTGCCCTCTGGGGAGATCTCAGGAATAAAAGAAAAGTTGCAAATATATGGCAGTGTGTTACATCTACAATTTCTGATACACAATTATTTTGCATCACTTTGTGAGACAGAAATTAAGAGTGCTTTCAGGAAAGAAGGTTAAAGGAAAAAAACAATAAATATATATCTTAATTGGGGACATGGGCTCAGGGTAAGAGAAGTAGTTCTTGATTTACTGAGTCTCAGTAATTTGACGATCTCTTCAGAATCACTTCTTGCAGCATCATTCATTTGGCAGCCTAAGGTTGTCTATGGCAGTAGCTCTTCTCCAAAATAAGAGAACCCTTTAAACTCTTCTTGATTGATTTGTTTTATAATTGTCTCATCCACTAGCGTTAATACTGGTTCTTCTCGTGTAAAGTCTTGATCAAAGTTATTTACATCCCTTTTGGTTTTCTGAGAAGAAAAATATGAACAAGGTGAATGGTAAAATGGCACAGTAAAATAAAAGGTGCTCTCCCCTCCTCTCCATCCCTCCCCAAAAAGCTGAATTTTCTGGAATGATTGAAATAAAAGAGAAGCTACTTCACACAAAGAATAACAGACATATGAGAGAAGCTACAGGAGCAAGTATTACAAATGAGTTCAGGAGAGGCCACAGAAGCAGTACTATAAATGAGTTCCCAGAGACTCAGGGGTCTCTGACAGGTGAAGGAATAGCAGTATGATGATAAAGCAGGAAGCTGAGATTAGGACTAGTTTAAAAAAGGCTTTGGCATAGTAGGTGGTATGGCTGTTTCCTCTCAGATTTGAACATAACGATATCTCATTTCAGAGGCACAGAGTAAACTGATTTAATTGATTTCCCTGCAATATAGCTTACTCTTTCAGCTCTAAGTTAATGGCTTCTTTATATCTGGCTACACTCGGCTTTAAAATCAGATGTTGACCTCAAAACAGCTCTCAGTCCAATATCTTTGACCTCAGCATTGGCATCTCAGATATCCTAATGCAGCCAAATGGCATTCAGAGCACCACAGCAAAGTGTGAAATTCTGCCTCCAGAGAAATCCACCTCAGAACTCTTCTTTATTTCAATGGCATTGGGACTTGCACACTGAAGTCTAAAGCATCCTGCTCTGTCAGTGAAGTGGAACCAACAGGGTGCAACTGTACATGTTCTCACTGGGATAAGACGAACTAACTAGAGAGAGTCTTCGGGAGGCTGACTTGTCCTTAGGGCACTCATGGCAGTGACTATCTGTGACCACTTACACATCAAAAACCCCATAAAGCTACAGGGGAAGACATTCCCTTGGGATCTGCACTGTTCATGTTTTCCATGTTAGCAGCGTATTTCAGACATTTACAGGTTCATGGAACTGGAATAAGCATTTTCCTTTACACTGTCTCTTCTCTCTTTGATTCATAAAATCTTATAGTTCCCTGCGTGATATTTAATTACGGGTACACTGACACACTGAAAACTGGCTTTGTGTCCAACCCACACAGCACTGAGATTCAGATAATACCAGAAACAGAATAGGTATTTGGCTTGCAAAGAAAAATGATAAATTCATAAAGTGATACATCATAAAGTACACAAATTATTCCAAAGGGGATATATGCCTTCTTTCAGTGTAGGTAAATTTTCCTATAAAGTATGTATATAAGTCTACTTTCTTCATCAGTTTTACTGAGGCACTAAATCAAATAGTTTTCTTTTTCACTACTGTAAAATGGTCCCAACAACCTTCACCTACATTGTTTGTAAGAACTTTATAGATATAGGGAAAACGGTCTATATAAACACAAGAGACTGTCACTTGTAAACCAAGTACTTTCTAAGTGAAGGCAATCCAAAATCCACATCCTCTATTTACAAAATTCCATTCAAAGGAAAGGAATATGGCCTTAACAAACATATATATATATATGTTTATATTGTTTACATTTGTAATATTTACTTCATATATGAAGACTGAACATAATGTGACCTGTATACTCTGAACTGCATAAAGCATGAGGGAGATGGATTTGGGCTTTGTGTTTTTTCCATCATTTGGGCAAGTACTGCAAAACAGAGAATGAAATACCATATAATTTTTAAAATGCATTACATTGTAACTACATCTACATACTTTTGGTTCCCCATTGCCCTACCATAGTATCTTCACACACTCATACAATGATTTTGCTGCAGGAACAGTTACTAAAGCAAAAGAAGGTAAGTGAGTATTTGCAGAAAGTAGAATTCAAATCCAGAACTGTAGTTATGTGCAAGAGAAACGTGACCACGCTCACAGTTTAACCACTAGCTATCCAGAGCAAATTAGCTCCGGACTAGCTGAGAACAAATACAATACACATTTTTTTCAGGTTTTCATATTGAACGTATTTGTGAAAAGAGTTATGTCCCTGCTGAAGCTAAAAGAATAAGATGACAAATTCCTCAAAGTCCATCGGGGGCAACTAATTCTTAATAGTTACTTTTTCCAGAAAATAATCAGTAAAATTTGTGAAGGTGTTAGGTTTGTAGATGAGTACATCTGAAAAATTGTACCAATATTGGTGTACCTAAATCCTATTGAATAAAAAGAATTGTACTTCCAGTAGAACTCTGAATCCTAAACACTTCTGAAAAAAACACCAAAGGTATTTGCTTAGACTGAAAGGCCTAGCATGCCTTAAAATATGCCTTCAAGACTAAAGAAAGAAATAGAAGTTTTTACTGTCTCAGATTTATAAACAAGCCAATGTCTTTTACGTGGCATAGATTTAAATCACCCGTTTTACTAAAAGAAGTATGGAGCAATCTAAGAATGCAAGGATAATTCAATAGCAACCCTCTAATTAACCAATGAAAGAAGCGAGATTTAGTAAATCACAGGGAACAAAAGTGAGCAGATTAAGCCATATAAAACAAAAGGTAGAGTTCATAACAAGTGCTTCTTTTCAACAGAAAGATTAATTTGAGAAATCCTCCTTAGCACCTTAGGCTTAGGTTTTTTTCTTGAAGGTATGACTGTTTTGCAAGGCCCCATCTGCTAAAACAAAACAGGTCTGGTCACATTTCTCCTACCATTGTAATTTTAATATACTTGCACTGTGAATACTCTATAGGCCAACAACACGAAACAATATATAGTTGCAGCGTGAGGGCTCAGGATGAAGGTATGAAGGGCTGTGGTTGTCTCCTAGCAGAGAAGCTGAGAAAAGAAAAGATCTGCAAGGTAAGGGATATAGTTTAGTTGAGGACTTGTCAGTGCTAGGTTACTGGAGCTAGGAGTCAAAGATCTTAAAGGTCTTTTCCAATCTAGGCAATTCTTTAAGGAGAGTAAATGAAGGAAACAGAGTGCAGCTATTATCCAACTCTGAACAGTAATAAAATAATTAAGAAAAAAGGAAAAAAAATTCATTGGCTGGCAAATACATAACTAAAAATGCAGTAATTAAATGGGGGGGAAGAGGTTCTGTTTATTCAGCCAGCAGCATCTGAGACTCTGGGGTGCATAATTTTTAACTTTTCAAACCTTTTGCCAGGTATGACTTTTCAATTCCAGATGACTGAAGAAATTAGGGTTATTAGGAAAAAAAGAACACCTGAAACCACAGCTGTCCACTCAAACACACAGAAATTCAATTAGGTTTCAGAGACTACTTTTTTCCCTCTCTAGATTATACAAACACCTTGTGTTCAGCACGTGTCAATGCTACAGGAGAGGAGGGGCACAGTAGCTACCCAAGAGCTTCCACCAACAGGTGCCAAATTCCACACTGCACTGAAACTGCTCTGCCGCAGGCAGGATGTGAGCACTCCATCTCTGTCTGACAAAAAGCAGCAGCAATTCCATGGCTCTTGTAAGGGCTAGAACTGACGTGACTCCAGTTCAGAAACTCATCTAAAAGGTGGCTCCTCCACCAGCATGCTATCTCTAAGAGAGGGAAGAAATAGTGACTCGCTACCTCTTGTGCAGGAAACTTGCTGGACAGGTGATCTTTTTTTGTTTTTCCAGCACTGTGAATGCTTCACAGGTCTCTCATCTGAGCATTGACCTAGCATGACCTGCTTATCCTGTAAGACATGGTGGACTTGCTTCATGTGGGTGATACGATCTGATTAGGTGTAACACTTATGCTACAGAAATAGAACTCCCTGAATTAATAAATATTAACATGACCTACTATGTCAATTTTAAAGTCAAAGTCATGTTTTATTCTATTCAAAGATTACTGCTTCTGTTCGAAGAGCTAAAGATACTGGAAATTTTTAAAGACTGTCTCTTCACAAAGCATCATTTAATGAACTTTCCTTAGATGGCCTGTACAACTTTAGAGAATGAGATATTGTTTTATGAGTCAAAAATGCTTTTTTTCTTAAATCTCATCACATAATTACTAGAAGATTAAAAGGAACTTCGTGTGCTATTAATAAGCACACACTAGACAGTAGTTTTTAGAACTGGTTTTATTTTCATTACTGTTTCCACAGAAAAATAATTTTCTACCTGCATTCAGGCTTGAGCTTAAAAAATCCTTCAAGCCATGTTTAAGAAGCTTTCCAGTGTCAAGGATTACCAACCCTGTCTGTTAATGATTAGCAAATGTCACTATATAAATTGTGTCAGTGAAAAAAGAAATCTAAGTTGATGTTCTTATCACTGAAAATACATTAAGAAAGTTAGAACTTGCCATTCCTTCCATTAATCACATGAAACAAATGTGAATGACAGGAGCCTTTGGTATTTAAATGCCACAGAAATCACTTGACAGAGGGTGTTCCACACCAGGGAACTCCGCAAAGCTTGGGCACCTCATCAGCTGTGTCATGAGGCCAGAAGTCTCAGAATGGACTCTCTTCTGCCTAATAAGGATTAAATGAATTCTCCAGCTTGGAGGCATTAAGAGATACCTCCCTCTACTCTGCTACTTATTTTCATTTAATTTGCTGAAAATCACTACAACTCTTTTGACTTGATGATCTCAAGGGTCTTTTCCAACCTGATTGTTTCTATGATTCCATGACTCTTTCAAGTCATTTGCAAGCTCAATGGCTCCACTAAATTGGGCTGGAATTGTCCAGCAAGTTCAAAGCCTACTCAGAAAAGGTGAAAGAAAGATGGAGCTGGTGGCTAGAAAATAACAGTGCCACAAAAGCCTTGGTTTTGCATTTTAGTCTGATTTTCCTATATATTTCACAATATGCTGTTTAAATATAAGAATCCTCTTTAAATCAATTAACAGATTTCGGTTTAGTTTAGGAGAATGACGAGTGACAGCCACTGCAAGTGAGGCCAGAAATGATCATTATAACCATATTGCTGGAGGAGAAAAAGACTGTGCTATGACTTTTCAGTAAGTGGACCTTCTGACACAAAATAAATACAAAGGTTATCCATGATTTTCATAGCCCGAGACACTGCCAAAAATGCAGATGGAGATTAGCCTATCTCTGTC